CAAACCGGTAGAAGATACTGTACATACAGTCAGAAGAAGGTGTTCAATCTGGTTAGTGATGCAATGTACCTTAAACTTGTGTAAGTTTTAGTCAAATGGAAGACCGATCTCTGTGTAGGGTATTGCTAATTGCTTGGCCTTGGGGGTTAAGAATCTTTGATTCTTGATTGGCCGAGGTCAGAACGACGCTGGTCGGAGCTGGAGTAGATYGTGTCACTCTGTAACCCTAGSTTAGATGGGGGCCTGAGGCCTGGTAARGAGATCTGGGGGYGGTTTTGGGGCTACTTTCTCACGGGAGATTGAGGATTGAAACCTCAGCGACGCTGGCCGGATTTGGAGTGCGGTGGTGYGACTGTGTGACCTRGYTTGATGGGGACGTGAGGCCTGGAAGAGACTCAAGAGACCTCTGGTTTCGTTGGAACAGTGTTATTGGTGCAAAAGTCTTTCTTGGTCAGCAGATAGATGGTACTCTGACGAGGTCAGGGTTTTAACAGAGTTAGATGTTCACTATATCGGTATTACTGTATCTCACAGGTTTGCTCAAGTTGATCTTAGCCGACGTCGGTTAATGGCCCCCGGTATGCATATTACATTCCATAAGTCCTGTAATTGGTATGGGACGCTGGGCCCGGTTCCCAGCACGTGCTGCTTCCCACGAATAGATTGGAGACATTTTGGTATTAAAAAACAATAAAAAAAAAGGAAAAAAAAAAGCATGTGAAGTTGGCAGGTGATTGTAATTACTTAGAAGAATCTCGTGACTTGAACTCGTCATTTGAGACAAGCACCTATACGACGATCGAGGAAAGAAAACAGAACACGATCGAGGAAGGTAAAGAGAACACGAGGAAAACGGTTCTGTTTCGGCTTGAGCGTTTGTGATTGATAGACGCTGATTAGGACATGATCCCTCGTAATTAGACTCGCTGTCCGTTTCACAGTGAGTCAGACAGGTTGTKTTCAATGTTCATGCCATTTGAAGCAGGAGAGATAATGAACCATATATAGTCATCCATTRACATTTTTTGTAACGTGACGTTTGTGTTATCTGTCCCTGAGTTCTAATCCAAGAGTGTGTCGCACATGGTTCATGCTTGAGCGCACTCCACGTGTCTCTCACATGTTCGAAAATTCGTTCGCACGGAGGAGTTTCGTGTTTTCGACTCTTATGTTTCTTCAAGCCGATGTGGGATCATCGCCAACTCCCTCTCTCTCTCTCTCTCTCTCTGTCTCTGTGCCCCCCTTGTCTCTCTTCTTCCGCTTTTTGGACGCTTATCGCGGGTCTCCTCCCCCTTCGCATCTGTTTTGTACTGGAGGTAAGCACATGGAGAACCCCAGCCACAGGTAAGTACCACTCTCTCTCTCTCTCTCTCTCTCTCTCTCTCTCTCTCTCTCTCTCTCTCTCTCTCTCTCTCTCNCTCTCTCTCTCTCTCTCTCTCTCTCTCTCCCCCCTTGTCTCTCTTCTTCCGCTTTTTGGACGCTTATCGGGGGTCTCCTCCCCCTTCGCATCTGTTGTGTACTGGAGGTGCGTACATGGAGAACCACTCTCACAGGTATGTACCAGCTCGGGTGACCCCTCCAGCATACAAGTACCCTGGCGAGTCGTACGCACTCCCAAGCAATCATGCAATCAGTCAAACACGCAGGAACTCAGCAAGCATGCACACACACAGAGACTTAGAAAATATCAGCACAATGTGGCAATCTCAGCACGTCACACAATCTGCAGAATGTGGCAAAACTCGGAAAACAGCAATGCTCGCAGTCTGTGATTTTGCATGTCGTTGCTCGGCGACGAATTGGGTGCACCAAGTTTACTTGGGGGGAAGCTTTTTGGCTAACTTGGAGCTGGACATGATGAAACGCATGTTGAATATGGTGTGGGAGCTTGAGGAGGGACCTGATCCTCAGCTGGATGATCTGAATGATTGGCAGCTGGCGGGTGCTCTCAATAGTCATCAATCCCATGTTCATTCTGAGGAGGGGAGAGACTTGGATGCTGCGCTGGAGCCTGGAGGGGCGACCTGCAAAGAGGTGTACTTATGTAACAACCCTGTGTGGTCAACAGCCGGATGAGGAGGATACGTCAACCAAGGACGATGATCTGATGGAAGGTTCGGGGCTTCCACTCAGTCATCACTCAGTCATCACTCAGTCATCGCTCAGTCATCAAAAGCTGGACAGGGCTGCTCACTCAGTCAACCAAGGAAGATGACCTGGGAAGAGCTTGACTGACTGAGTGAGCAGCCCTGTCGGACCTCTCTTGATGAAGAATCGTTATTTTTTTATTTTTTATTTTAAACCTGTGCCGCCTGCTACGGAGGGTGATAAGAGTAGCCCCCTCTGGTAGCCTCACCTAGGGCTTCTCCTGTCGATTGGTGGGGAGGTGTTCCTGCTGGAAACCGCGTCCAGTATCCCAGTATGAATGACACATCCTCGATGGTAACGGGGCCTTTGTCCGGCTTCGGCTGAAAGACCAATCGTGGAGCTAAAAGTAGAAAACCGGGACCTAGGAGTACAAAGAGGGCAACCAACGTGCCAGGAGACGACGAACTTTGGGATAATCGGTAGAAAGCACCCACGCCAAAACCTTTTCGGGTTTGGGCGCCCGAAACTCGGCCGTTTGGTACTACCGGCCCAATGACTTCCATGTGGGAGGCCCATGTGTCGCTCCAAGGGCCCTACCGGATCATGAATCTGGCGCATAACACGCCAGATTCGTTTTGATGTAAAAGAGGCCGACGGTGGTACCGCTTAAGTATCGAATGAGGCCCACTTACGGGTTTGCCCACTTACGGGTTTTTGAAAAAGAAGGGCCCTACCGGTTCATGAAATTCTTGAACAGGTAAAAACACCCAGGGAGATGTGGCCACGGCGCAAAGGCACCTTTCACCCAGGCTGAAGACGGTTTGAGCCCGTAGTACCAAACTGCCGAGTTTTGGGCGCCCAAAACCGGAAAGGTTTTGGCGTGGGCTCTTTCTACAGATTATCCCATGAACTTTGGAGCCACACACGAACATCCGCAATAGAATCTTCCCAATTCGTCACAAAACAAACACAACACTGTGGTAACCACTAACGGACATGAAAGGACGCGGCGTGATAAAGGACTCGTCTGACCGGAACCGCAGCGCCCCAGCGCTGCTTTCACCGTCGGTTTCCCTTGGGCCTGGTGGACCCATTGGGGTGCGTCAGTCGGGGCCCGCTTCACGCTTTAGGAGTATAGCAATGACTGAACTTCCATCTCGCTTGATTTTGTAAGTTCTTGGCTTGTTGATAAGAGGTACCTTCTCGGTTCCTTGCGTTTGCCCAAGTCCTGTTGTGAACTTCCTTATAACAAGTATAGTCAATGGTTTACCCGATGTGTGTGACTCGGTGTGAGACCTGTATGCGGAGTACTCCTACTCACTCACCCCTCAGACGGATTTTCTTTTGTCATCTTCGTTGTACGTAGTAGGTCCTTGTGACAGTCTGACACCTCCTCCCTGCGAGCAAACATACAGGTGGAGGCATATAAGCCACATCATTGGGATAATTGGTAGAAAGCGCCCAGGCCAAAACCTTTTCGGTTTTGGGCGCCTGAAACCGGTCCGTTTGGTACTACCGACCCAAACGTCGTCAACCTGGTTGAAAGGCGCCTTCGCGCCGTGGCCATATCTCTCCATGGGCCTATTTTTACCGGTTCAAGAATTTGGCGCTGTTTTGCGCCAGATTCACGAACTGGAAAGGCCCTTCTTTTTTAGGATACCAGACGTGGGACTCATTCTATCCTTCAAGAGGACTGCCCTCGGCCTCTTCGGCATTAAAATGAATCTGGCGCTGTGTATGCGCCAGATTCATGATCCGGTAGTGCCCTTTGAGCGATGCGTGGGCCTGCAGTACCCCACATGGAAAACATTGGGCCGGTAGTGCCAAACGGCCAAGTTTCGCGTGCCCAAAACCTAGAAGGTTTTGGCGTGGGTGCTTTCTACCAATCATCCCCATATCATTGCTACGAAACATTGTGCTGACTCTGCTGGGTGCCAGATGGTACGGATACCAGCAACCTCCCCTTGTCGAGCCCATGCCGCTCGACGGGGTGGGAACCAGCAACCATAATGTCACCTTTCATCTCTGGACCGGGCTTGGTTGCTTATTGGTCCTAAATTAATAACCATGTCTTTTTTTTCAAATCCTACAGCATGTTCTGGATTTCCACAAGTTTTATTTACTCATTGTGTTAGAAATACCTAGTATGCATGTCATTTGAATCAAAAAAAAATACTGGTTCCATATTTTTACAAATGGCATAGCAATGATAGCACAACGAAATTGGTTGAGTATCTTCCTCTCCTCCCTATGATGCCTTTCATGGTAATTCTCTTCATTCTCCCTCTCATCGCAGCTATGTCGGATTAACTAATTGGATAGACGGAGTTAAACATCATGATTGGAACACTTGTCTTTATGTCGTGGGGCACTGGTTCACAAGTAGACTTCTCTACTCCACTATGTGTTAACCCTAGCCTATACAGACAGTCTAAGCTATGATTAAACCGCTAGTACACGGCCCCAGCCTTGCAAAAATGTTTTGCTGGAAATTGCCGCCACAAGCAAAACTCAGAGGCACCGAGCAGTCACGCCCATTGTTGCAAAAAAAAGTGGGCGGCCTCTGAAGTGGTGAGGGTTTCATGCAGACACATTGACACCCGCAGGCCAATATGTTGTGTACTGGTGCTTTAAGGGTCATTGATAAAAGCCGTATTTTGTGGTATTCTCTAGCAGAGTCTAGCCTACACAGACAATCTAAGCTATAATTAAGTGGCATCGATAAGAGCTGCATTCAGTGTTATCGACCTAAGATTGAATGCTTTATCAATGTTCAGCAAACTGCCTCCTACAACAATAGTGACATTCTCACTCTTCTTCGTAGACCTATGACTTACGTCATTGCCATCTTTTTATCACACCATGGCACAACCACCACCCTTTCACCTTGGTATCCGAACCTTGGACTGCATAGGCTCTCGACTTTACCTAAATAATGACTTTGTCAACCTCTAACTGCTCAAGCATGCAGCTACCCCTTGTGAAGCGTTTATTTCCTCCACATGACCATCCTATACCATCAAGCTATGTATCCTCTGCGGTCATGATCGCAGGGTCAAACTCGGATTGCGGTCAGGATCCCGACGGCCAGCCACAGCCTGGGCGGTCAGGCGTGACCGAGAAATTGTCATATTTAAAAAAGAAAAGAGAAAAGAAACAAAAAAAAGGAGGGGGTGGTAGGGTGTGAAAAGCCCTACCACCCCATATTTTTGTTTTTTTAACTTCTTAGATATCGTTTTTTTTTTTCCTTCTTAAATCGAAAATAGAAAAACAAGTATTCTAATCAAAAGAAACGTAATTAAAAAAATAGGAATTTATTTTTTTTGCGTCCGGCGGACAACTTGGGCAGAGTTGTCTGGAATCCCGGACAACTCATTTTCTCCATTGAAAAAAAAAATTAAAAAAATGGGGACGGGCTGCGGTACATGAGGTGACCATATAAAAAAATTCCAGCTCATTTGGAGCAAAACAAAATAAAATGCAAAACATGGGGAAAGGGGGATTTGGGGGGATGGGTTGGGGTGCGTGATTGAAATTGACCCCCATAGGATAAAAATGTTTGATTCAAATTGGCATAGACATCTTTGGCAATTTTTATCTTTTTTTCTATGGGCTCAAATACTTCAAAAATTCAGTGGCACATATCTCATGTGAGGGAGAACCTTCAAAAAAGTTTTTTTTTTTTTTTTTTTTTAATTTTTTAGAGGGTCAGACATATTTGTCTAGGGAAGACGTCTCCCCGATTGTCTGACCGGATAAGTCGGACACCCAGAGGCATCTCGGACAACCGTCGTGGTAAACTAGTTTTTATTTCCTTTTGTTTTTTCTGGGGGTTAGGGTCGGGGTTCCGGAACCCCAATCTGCAACCCCCCCCCCCAACACCCTCCCCCTCCGGCCGCTACGCAGCCGCTAACGTAGCTGCTACCGCGGTCATGACCACGAGGTCGTGCCCATGACAACAAGTTGTGGTCTTGACTCCGGCGACCGCCACCGGGGAGGATTCATAGCGCTCCAGGGTTTAACTATATCATCTTACAAGGATGTTTACCGTTTAGCAAACAATCTTATCGTTCGAATAGGTGATATAGTATTATAGTCACGAGGTTGCCCACGTCCTCCTTCAATGATGTACTCTTCTGCTTGAATTAATAATGATAGACCCATCTTGATTGATACTACCACGGGTCACTACGATATGTTGTGCACTTAACCCTATATCGCATGCTTTAGTAAGAGGCATCCAACTCAAACTGACAATTCATCCATACTACCCTCTATTGATCCAAACTTATTTAAGGCTAGACTCCAACCAAATCTTTCAAGTTCTAATCTCATAGCAAACATTCATAAAGCAGAGTGCATGAGTTGCGGTCTGCAATTCTTCTGTCGACCATATTCAAGCCGGATACATTACGTAGCTTTTTCCTTAACATTTTGCACATGCATCAAGTTGCTTATACCATACAATTACGGAGCATCCTTCAGGTACAAGAGGTCATTAAATTACAAACATGTTATTCGTTAAAATAGGACATTATACTGTGTCCTCTTTCTAACGAATTCATTTTTGGCTGCATTCCAAACAACGTAGGCACGCCCATCCACGGCTTAAGCACATGCAGAAGTGTGCTGAGATCCGTACTTGTGAAACTTTATAAATGATATCCTAAATGAGGAAGGATGTTCAAACCCGTATATGTTAGGCACGCCGCACGGGAACCTTGTGTGGAAGTGTGTCGGGATCCTTACTTGCTGAACTTCAAAAACATGGCACTGCTGGGAATCCTGTGCGGAAGTGTGCTGGGATCCGTACTTGTTAAACTTCATAAACGAATAACGACATGCACGCCCATCAGGGAACCATGTGCGGAAGTGTTCTGGGAACCTTACTCGTTGAACTTTAGAAATGTGTCGTGAATCTTGTGTCGAAGTGTGTCGGGATCCGCACTTGTTAAACTTCATAAACGAATAACGACAGGCACACGCATCAGGGAACCCTGTGCGGAAGTGTGCTGGGATCCGTACTTGTTAAACTTCAATTCCATAATTGTGACGAGCAATGTGTCATGATTGCATCCTCGTTGGATAATTATATTAGAAGACGTAGAGTAGCGACAGGCACGCCCATCCGGGATGCCTGTGCGATAGTGTGTCGGGAGCCACACTTGTCAAACTTCAAGTTTGTGAATGTGATGAGCAAGTTGTCATGATTGAATCCTTGTTGGATAATACTATTTATTTCTTTTATGCGTGAGTTGTACATGCATGGCTTTTGTCGCGTCCGAGGCGGTTGTCTGGATGTTGTAGAGATTCAGAATTCTTTAGAAGTACAAACAATAACTGTTATTTTTGACATACAATTTATTTTTCCCGGTCAAGAACGCAAAATTGTCGGTCACATGTAATTCAGGCGGTCACAATTACATGATTGTCTATGCACACAAGAGACGTGATGTCACTGGTCTTTCACTCTTTGCATAACGAACCTCACACCCACACACTCGCCGAGATTTGTCTTGCATCCACACTCCAATTCGTCATGTCGCACCACACACATGAATATAATTTCGAGGTGAATTGTATGCACAACCTTGGATGACCTGGACACAATTTGCAACGAGGACTGCAATGCGATGAATGTAATGACACGACAGACGAGCCGGACCTAACAGAGATTCCAAAAGCAATACGCGACACCAAATTGACAGTCAACATACCAAAGACAACTCAAACCCGCAACACTGAAAGAAAGTAATGTCGTTGTGAAAGCGACAGTTAAAATATGAAATATTCTGAAACAGAAGTTTGCAAATCAATCGAATCCATCAAAGACAACGACATTCCAAGACACATGATGCCAGTTGTCGTCTAATATACAGAATATTTTTACAAGAGAACCTAAAAGGCGGTCGATCTCCACGTTGCAATAGTGTCGCAAACATCAACATAAACACCCCGCAACTAACTTCATCCACCTGTCTTGGAACTCCCTCTATAACAACATTTGCTGCCACCGACTTCCAGCGCCTGCACGAGCGCCTATATGATGTTTCACATTTCAAATAGTGTACGATCAACTCGAAAATCTCAAGAACATTATCTCTTAAGCTCACGGAAAGGAGGATCCAGTGATCATTATTTTTTAGGACTGGAACAAAGATAATATCATATTCAAGCAGATCCACGTTTTTAGCCCATCTTTCCATCCCACCATGCCCTTGAAGTTGCAGTTTACTAAAGAAGAAAGAATTAAAGGTGAAGACTCGAAGGCCTGGCGGGATGTCACTTGTCTCATATACGGTCGTTCCTAATAGCGCCATGTAGAAGTTGACCACCTCATCATTCATCCTGCCGTCGGTAAGTGAGAGGGTGAGAATCCTTCGCTGCAATTCGCAACAGACCATCGTGGAGAGTCGAGAGTACAGTGTCACAGGTGGGGAAGTGAGAAACGGAACACTAAGGATTCTCCTTCATCGCACGACAAGAAGCTAAGTATTTCTCATACATGGTCTGACCCCTAGTCATAGATCGTGGATATGTCCCTTTCTCTGGGGGCAGAAGGGAAAGACACTCCTCAATGGCAATGGCATGCTCCTTCTTCTCGATTTCGACATCAACCCCTGACGCCTTTAACATGTCCTTGTGTTTTGTCGTCAAACCCGGGACTGTATGCAGTATGTGTTCCAGATATTTAGAGGGCCTCCGTGTTCGAGACGACCCTACCCCTGTACAACAGAAGAAAGACAAAACGGAAAGTGAATACACGTTTCCTAAGAAGAACCCGACGAAACGACAATTAAAGGACCACGAAATCTAAAAGACGCAGGATCCATGCAATTACAGAACCCCGTCATGCCATGAGAGTGCGAGAGATAGAACTTCCGCACGAGCCACGTTGCAAAACAAAACAAGCAGTGCACTCGAGCTCGACACCCCCGCCCTTCAGAAGGGAAAAGCACATCAAGTCACAGAAGCGGAAGGCAAACATCTCTGAAGTCCGGATCCCGGCGGACTTTTCCAACCCAGAGAAATGACCCAACCCCTGTGCAACCGAAGGAAGAGAAAACGGAAAATGAACTTACGTAATCCAAGACGAACCCGACGAAAACGACAACTCAAGAACCACGAAATGTAGAAGACATAGGACCTATGTATTTACAGAGCCCCGTTTAGCCATGAGAGAGATAGAAAAATACTTTCGCGCAGACCCCGCTGGAAAACAAAAGGAGCAGTGTGTTCGACCTCGACACCCCCTCCCTTCAGAAGGGAAAACCTCAACAAGCCACAAACCCTGAGGCCAAACATTTGTGAAGTCAGGATCCCGGCAGACTTTTCCCAATCGAGGCACTTGAAGAGTAACCGCGTTACGCAGCGGCCTTGGCAGTGCGGATCCCGGCGGACTAAAACCACCACTCTTTCCGAAAGAGAAACACCATCCTTCCATTATTTGAGGGAACGCTTCAACAAAAACACACATGTTTTTGTCTCGTGCGCATTGACAAACACTGCGGTTACTGGCGCGCAGACAGAGTGGTGTTTGGCACTGCTTACCAGTTGGTTTGTCTCTCCGCTCCTTAATCGATGAAGTTGGCGCGGGCAAGGCCAGCACGTCGAGAGCTCGAGTGCCGGCGACAGTTTTTTTCAGGGATGTGACATCTTGTCGTCCCCCGATCCCGCGTTCTCCTCCGCTGGCGATGGTCGGCGGCAGCATCGGAGAGCTTGTCGGTGATAAATTGACGACAGATCCCCCGGAAGGTTTGACGTCGAGAGGGTCGTCGACACCAGGCGTCGAGGACGGCTGCGCGGACATTTGGTGGTCGCCCAGGATGCCGTCGATAACTTCTTCGATGTCAATACGCACACTCGGTTTAGTCAGGCTGACTGCTACACGAGCTTCGTTGAACCGGTGTTGGAGATCGACGACAGACGTCATTGCTTGGACCTCATTGTCATCACGTTCTGCCGAAAGGCTTGTGACCACCTGTGTCTCCATACCCAGTGTAGTGTCATCGTCGTCCTCGTCTTCCTCGCGGTGTTCTCCGTACAGCTGCCCGAATTCGTCAGAAGACTTTCCAGATCTGTCATCGTCGTCGCCGAAAGTCCGTTCGTCGTCTCTTGTATCGAGTTTACCTTTTGCCCCGTCCGCCCTCCTAGCAACCCAGCCAACTCCGTTTCTTCCCCTTTCTCTCCTTCATCCTCTTCTTCCTCCCCTTCATCCATTCCTTCCTCCAATTCCTCCCCTGTGTCTCGTTCCTCTTCCTTCTCTTTGTCCATCACCCTGCCTTCTTCCCCTGCATGCAATCCAGCCACTTCGCCCGAACCCGTGTCAATTCCCGATGAATGCGCTTCCCGCCCGCCGCACTCAGCCCCTCCCGCCTGCACCAATATCCCTGGTTGGCCCCCCTTGCCTGAAGATGTTCGGATCCCGGCGAACTTCGCCGACTCCCTGTCGCTGGGCCCTCCACACTCCTTGCTTGGAGAAGTTCGGATCCCGACGAACTTCGCCGTCTCCCTTTCACGGGGCCCTCCACACGCACCCTCTCGCTCCGACCGAAGCAGTTGGCGATCCCCCGCAGGCGGCGAAGTCCCGTCCCTCACCGCACCGCTGTCTATTTTGGGATGACGACTCGCCACCCCCGGTCTTGACCAGCTCTGCGCGTCCGTCCTCTCTGTCCGGTCTGCAAGCATTGAAGTTCGGATCCCGGCGGACTTGAACGTTTCGACCGAGCCGGCACGGAGAGCAACCAAGGCCGCCATCACCGAGCAGGCGGATGAACTGGGCACGTCCTCCCACTGTGCCGAGCATTCCGGACCGGGACCGGTAGACTGCTGACGCCCGAGGGCCTCCCCCGCCACCCCGCCGCTGCCTTTTGCTGTCGTGGTGTCGCCCTGAGACCCGCCCTCAGCCTCGTCGCCGTCTTGTTGTCGCCTCGGGACTCGTTTGCCGCCCCCAACCTCGTTGCCCTCGTTGTCCCCACCTTCCGGTCCCCGGGACCCTGTTCTTACATGCGTACTGGGAGGGGGTATTTTCCAGTCCACCCTTCCTTTCGAGGGGCTTGAGTCGAGGTCGTAGTAGTCCTCTGTCAGCTCCAACCAGCACTTGTCCTAAAGTTCGGCGAACAATTGCCCGACTGTGGAAATGACGGACACGTCTTCGGGCTCGAAAGAGCCATTCTCGGCCCTCACTTTCTGGAGGACCGCAATTCTAGCAACGTCGAGGAAGTCAGACTTCGACCCGCGAGGGAGTGGCATCCATCCTCCGTCCAGGACAGCGACCACCACGATCCACTCACCCTTTTGGATTGCCGGCTGGATGACTACTGGATGCCAAATCATGTCATGGCCCAGTCCGCCTCGGTGGAACGACTTTGAGGCTCAGGCAGGAAGTGAATGTTGGCATTCGTCCAAGACAGATGATCGGGCGGGATGTCAGACCCGGAACGCAGTGAGCGATGGCCGGAGGCCAGAGCTTGCATTCTCTGCAGCAACTTCATCGGGGTAGTGCCAGGCGCCGGTTTCGCCATCGGTGACACGAGGGACGCCGGGCTTGTCGACGAACCTGCCAAGGACGACCCTGTACCGTGCTGCGAGGAATGTTGGTCGTACTGCAGGTCGAGGCTTTCGGTGTCCCTGCCCTCCTCGTCCGCGGTCGCGTCGAACTCGATGTCGCTGGTCTCCTCGTCTTTCGTTGAGATCAAGGAGGAGTAACTGCTGAACGTCATCTCCTCCTCTGACTCCACGAAGTAAAGGGACTGCAACCTCTCGAGAAAGGTCTTCGCGTTCATGCGGGAGGCGCCGTGGTAGTTGTCGAGCAACGTGAACATGTGGTCCTTGCGGCGCACGTACTCGGCGTCGGTGTCTCTCTTCGGCCGCTTTTGCAGGAACAAGAAGTCGTATATCTTGTTCCGCTTCCTCGCACTCAACTTGAACCACATGTCCGTCTTGTTGTTCCACGCGCGAGCCCGAGTCTCGGTGACGACCATGAACTCGTAATTGTGGGCACCCGAATTGACCTCGCTTTTGACGAGATCAATTGTAAATTGCAAGAGCTCGGAGTTCCCTTCCATCGCGATGACATGCCGTCCTGCCTTCAGTACTTCCCAGACTAACCTCGCGTGTGGCTTCCCGAGGAAGACGACACCCTCCCCCTTCTTGGTGATGGATTCGAGAAGCTGAACGAATTGGGCGGGGTTGCGTTTCATGTCCCCGTACACAATGCCCCGACGTGCAGGCGAGGTATGCGACCAGTTGCAAGCGTTGAATGGGATGTCGGATACATCCGTTTGCGTAACCTTTTGTGGTACCCGCATTGCAGCAGCGGAGCCTGCCGGCAGTTTCCCCTCGTAGACGACGGACGTGTTGGCCCGCAAATCGTCGCCTTTAAAGAGTATGTACATCCGGTCGTCTTCCGTGTACAAATTGTTCCCGACGGGGAAGCTTTTCTTCTGTTGACACCTCCTCGCCCACTTCCCTTCCAGCAGCTTGACGAAAGAAAGATGGTTCATGCTGGCCAGAAAGGAGAGGTTCTGCTGTCGCGGGACAAAAACAACGAGCGTGCAATGCGACGGACACCACGTCTGGAGTAGGGAATTCAGAGTGTCGAACGCTTGCGGTTTCCAAAGCTTCAGGTCCACCGGTTCGCACAGATCGAGGACGAACGTGTGACTCTTTGTGGCAACCACTGCCTCCTTCACCTTCGCACTCCTTATGTCTGCCTCCAAGGGGTCGTTGCCGAATGGCGTGATGGATGTCACGTCGCCCGTGTCATTCCATTTTATGTGCACAATGCCTTCGGCGAGCGCGATCTCTCGACTCTTCAGTCTACTGCCAGTCAACACGGACAGGACCTTATTCCTCCAGTCGACGGACAGCTTCTTGTGACCGGCCAACTTCTCCGTCGCCTCGATCGATCTGTCGTCGTCGCAGCCTATGTAGGGCGGGCAGTCCTTGAACAGCGAGGAGTCAGTGACGTATTTCGTGCTCCCGTCCCACAACTCAGCATCCAAACCATGACTCTCAAACTGTCTGAAAATTGCGGGCCTTGATTTCAGAAACGGGAACCTTTGGCTCCAATCCGCGTGTGGCCTTTTGTCGTGCTTGAACTGGTAGTAGTTCCACAGACGCACCAGCAGCCGTTCGCACTTCACCAAATTCACCACCTCCTGGACGCTCAGCTTTCCGAGCTTCGCCAACGCTGGCGAGCCGGCCTGTACCCAAACCACCTCGCAAGCGAGCACCTTCTTCAGGACGCGGCACTTCTCGTTGTCTGTTAGCAACTCCATCGTTTTCCAACAATGCGCGTCCGGCTCTGGCACTTGCACGAACCACTCGCCCTCCTCTTTCTCCTTTTTGCATTTCTTTGACGGCGGGTCCACAGGGACGTTGTACACGGCCTTCTTCCCGCCCAGCTTGTCATTATGGATGTATGCAACCCCAGGCTTCACGTTTTTGACTTTCTTCTTCCGCATGATCCACTTTGCGCCGTCGTGTCCGAACAATCTCCTGTCTCCCATTTCTCGAAAAACTCGACGGCCAGTTTCCAGACGTTCTCCCCCGCCATCGCCAGTGGGAAATAGGAACGCATGGCAGTGCCTTGTTTCCTGATGGCCTCCTCGCCCTGCTGATCTGCGAGAATCCACAAGTTGTTGTGCGGTGTCATGTTGAGTGCGACATTACAGAATTCACGCCACTTCCGGACCTGATCCTGTTTTCCGATGGGGTTCCCCATAACAGCACGCGGGCAACGGACGCACTTCCACTGCCACCTAATGTCCCTCATTGACAGCTTCAGCTGTCGTGGGGGCGCCTTCAGGTCCTTGTTGTCCTGGGAACTGACAAGGAAGTACCCTTTGAAGTCGTCGTCCGAAAAGTAGACCATTCGTGCAGGCCACCGCTCGAAATTGTATTTCCTGGCCACCTCGCTGCCAAGCAGCGACCTCGCTGCAGCCGCGTTGTGCTGCCCACACACCACGTAGTAGTAGTATTGTCCCGCCAGCTCATCCCTTCAATCCTCCGGTCTCAGACGTTCTGCCTTGGTCCCCGGAGTCGGTTTATCAAGCCCCAGCGGTGCCAGTTTCAGGGTTGGTAAATCGTAAGACTTCACTTTGTTTTCGAACGCCAACCGCATCGCTTCTTTGATCCCATCCACGAGCACGGGATCCAGGGACCGCTGGTTGTACAGGTCCTCCCAGTCCTCGAGGTCGACGACCTGCGCAGGGCTAATGTCGAACTCCCGCTTTGTCCAAACGTCATCTTTGTACTCGAGGAAGTACCCGGCGTCGACGTCGATGGGAGTCCCTGTTGTCGGTAAAGAAGATGGTCTAGACTCAGGCTGCTTCTGTCTCGAAGACGGTCGTTTGGCAACCTGCTGGCCCTGCTCCCCCTCCGTCCCCTTGCGTTTCTCCCCCGCAGTCCTGGGGGCCTTGCTCTTTAACTTCTTCGTAGAATCGGCGAACTCGTCTGGACGATCCCCCCTCCTCTTTTGCGGAGCTCCTTGCGAGCCCAGGCCTCCCGCGTCCACCTCCTCCACACCCTGTCCCTCGCTCGCCTCCAAGTCGACCTCCGAATAGTCCGCCACCTGTACTACAGGCCTCATACTCTTCCGTTGAACTGGAGCATCAGTCTGAACCCCAGGAATATACAACACAGACCGCCGTGTGTCACTCAACGGCGGAGCAGTCCCCTCATCCTTGCTGTCGTCGAACTGACCTCGGCTCTCGCCACGATGCAGCTGAGTGGCGGGACCAGAACCCAGATCACCGCCTTCCGCCCCTGCCCCGCTTGACTCGCAACCGCTGCAGAGCTTCAACGGCAACAACAGCTCAAGGGATGGGTTGACGTCGCAGGGGACGTCTAGAGCGATGTTTTTATCCGCCAACATGTCGAAAAATTCACGCGCCAAAACAAAACTGCCCCCGAGAACGAGTTCTCTATGGAACGGGGTGTTCACAGCACCCGCTCCGAACCCCTCACACAATTCGAGGTCCAGCAACGTCCCTTTCGAATTGGCAACGACGTTGCCCTTGGCGCTATAAACTTTCTGCATATAGAAATGTCGCCGGCCCCCCTTTGCGTCCTCCCACCTCAAGACGCCACCAAGCACTCTACGCCTTCTGCTGTCATCGATGAAGATGACAGGACCACATGGCTGCGTAGTGGGGTTGGAATCGTCTCCACAGTCGATGAACCATTTCGACCTTGAATAGTTCGACCACCCCTGCGTGGCAGTAGACGACCGCCTCGTGGAATCTTTTCGTGATTCCTTCTCAGAGGTCCCTGTTGGCTCCACCTCGCCCTTGGAAGAAGACATACTGTCTGCGAACGACAACGCAAATCGAACAGCACACCATGAAGTCAACGCCTGTCAAAACACAGGAGAAACACGACACTCGCTGCCGCATGTCAACGTAGGCTGCAGCGCAGCGAAAGCCGCACACGAAGACACCTGGGCACCCAAATCCGAAACAGTGAGAAGGGGTAGTCCGCCGGGATCCGAACTTCAAGCGGGCAAGAGACCGAGAGGCAGACAGAGAGAGAGAAGCAAGTGAAAACTCGCAGTGCGCATGGGATCACGCGCTGTTTATGCGGCACACGGGGCACCCCGAAGAACAAAGACAGACAAACGCACAATGAAAATCACGAAGTCCGCCGGGATCCGAACAAAAGGACGGTGCGTGAGATAGAGACGGCGGAAGCAGATTTCGGGAATTTTTCGCAGGAATCAACTGGCGGTCATGTTCGAAGCTTGTGCTCGACGAGGTAGTGTTCCCGACAGTCCAACAGCCGAAGCTCGCCGGGAGCCAAACTAGAACAGAGAGACAGCCATGCAGCCAGCGCCCCAGAACCGTGCTCGACCAAACGCACTCCGGAACCGTTGCCGGGCGGGTTGTGCAACCCACCCGGAACCACGAAGACTCACGACAGGCAGAAACGGCGTCTCGGACACACGATTCGCAAGTCTAAGGTTGTTAAACTCAAACCCGACCCAGGAAGGCCACACCGTAATGAAAGGCTGGTTGAAATGGAGGAGTCCAAGGACCTACGACATGTTGACACGACTGTCGCTTTCGAGCTTGGGTCCATCCAGTGCCAAGCTGTGCATAACGCGAGATCGAAAATCGGAGTAGTTTGGATTAGGGCGGACTTTGACTGTTGCCGGAATCCACGAGGGATCCGGAAGACCACCGTCTGTGGCAATAGACAGGCGACTCCTGAAGTTCGCCGGGATCCGAACTTCAGGAGGACGCGAGAAAGAGAGACAGAGAGAAACATTGGAGCAACTCCGAGTCCAAATGCAAGACGGTGTTCGACCAAGGCGCACGAGGAAAAACCCCGGGGTTCCACAGCCGACCGCAGGTTTCGATGGCTGCAGTCATCGAGTCCAGGCGTAATTGGTAGCAGGACCATTTCTGACTCCGCTCAACACTCGAAGCTCGGAGGCCGGTAGGACGCACAGGCCAAACCGCGAAGTTCGCCGGGATCCGAACTTCAAGAGGGTGCGACACGGAAAGAGACAGCGTGCACTAGCAACTGCTGCCTCCCGCGCCTTTCTCCACTACTAAAACTCTGCTATGTTCGGCAGCAGACAACCCTCTGACTCGTCTCCCTTCTTTTCGCTTAAGCAGGATGTCCAACCACACGTCTAGATCTTGTGACAATCGCGGTTCCTCGGGGACGAGGTCGCGAACCGTAGCCATACAAAGCATTCATTGACGATCCGTAAACGCGGACCAGCAGATTGTCGACCGTTGCAGTTTCCGAAAAGACGGACATGTATTTCATCCTAACAAACACTCCCGGTCGTGCTAAGGAGTTCCCTATACAGYCCSGTATGGCGGACACTTTCTCCTCGACCTCCCTAAGCAACGAAAAGTTTTGGACCGGCCCTGCTATAACCAAATCTCGCCACCCATCTACACGTTCAGGCCCGGGCGTCGGCATGAATTTGGACCCCTCAATTACCATCTCGTTGCGTGATACAAGCACAACTGCATCGACGAGTTTCCTGCTCTTGTTCGACGCAGCGACACATAGAACTCTGGCGAAATCAGACCCGGACACAGTCAATCGCACACAACAGTATGACACAACTTGTGGAGAATTCCCGGGGCACGGAGCTGGTACTGGCCCAGGAAAGAGCAGTGACGAGCGCAGTCCAGCAACTCTTGTTTCCGCAAGCCTCCCCAAGTTTGTGGCGACGAGCTGACGTAGTGGCATTCGAGGCGGCTGAAATGGCGGCTAATGCAGCCCAGTGCTCTGCGCATGTGGTTCAGGAACTTGTGTCCGAGGACAGCGTCAGACAGCGGGATGAGGTTCATGAACTCCAACATGTTGGCGAATTTGTACTGGCTTGGCCAAGGGCAGCGACTCTCCATCGTGGCCCAATTCTCATCGCACCAATCGTCAATATGCACGTCCCTGCATGGGACGACGGTCATCCAGGGGTCCTCGTCGAAGTCCTCTGCGGTCGCTCCGTGGATCGTAGTCACATAGTTGAAATGCCGCACTAATCTCGCGCAAGGAGAAAACGGTTCTGCCAAGCGAATGTGCGTTTCGGGACTCATGGTTTGTGGTGTCGAGAAGATCGACTCAAAGATTCGTGGTGTCGAGAAGGTCTCATCCATTACGCGCCCTACACACCACGCGCACATACCAAACGACACACACGGGGGCGCTGACACTCGTAAACATAGTTGGCGAGCAATCAAACGACATAGGTCCCTCGCTGCGATTGTGTACTGGGGTTGGAACGCGAGTTGGGTTTTACGAAAGGCAAGAACCTGAAGTTCGCTGGGATCCGAACTTGGCGGAATGCCGTGGGAGAGATACAGTTGTCTATCAAACTCGCCTTTCCATTCTTTCTTGAAGTTCGGATTCCGGCGGACTTCACATTTTCACAGGTCCACTGCTGTGGTTGTGAACTGGGGTTGCAACTCGAGTTGGGTTTTACGAATGGCAAGAACCTGAAGTTCGCTGGGATCCGTACTTGGCGAAATGCAGTGGGAGAGAAACAGCTGTCTGTCAAACTCGCCTTTCCATTCTTTCTTGAATTTCGGATCCCGGCGTACTTCACATTTTGACAAGTCCACTGTTGTTGTTGTGCACTGGGGTTGCAACTCGAGTTGGGTTTTACGAAAGGCAAGAACCTGAAGTTCGTCGGGATCCGTACTTGGCGAAATGCGGTGGGAAAGAAACAGTTGTCTGTCAAACTCGCCTTTCCATTCTTTCTTGAAGTTCGGATTCCAGCGGACTTCACATTTTCACAGGTCCACTGTTGTGGTTGTGCACTGGGTGGCAACTCGAGTTGGGTTTTACGAAAGGCAAGAACCYGAAGTTCGTCGGGATCCGTACTTGGCGAAATGCGGTGGGAGAGAAACAGCTGTCTATCAAACTCGCCTTCCCCTCTTTCTTGAAGTTCGGATTCCAGCGGACTTCACATTTTCAAGGTCCAACGCTGTGGTTGCCCGCTGGGGTTGCACCGCGTGTTGGGTCTTGCGGAGGGCGTGAACCGGAGGTCCACCGGGATCCGAGCTTGGCGAGATAACGTGGGAGAGACACAGATGTCTATCAAACTCGCCTTCCCGTGCTTTCTTGAAGTTCGGATCCCGGCGGACTTCACATTTTCACAGGTCCCCCGCTGTCGTGTGGTGGCTGCAAAACGTTCGTCGTTGGATGACCGACAAGGTTCGATGACCGACGAGGTTTGCCGTCCAGTGGCGTTCGATGTCCGCCAACATTTCGATGCCTGCTGAGGTTTGATGGGGCGCTAGGTTCGATGCCAAACAAGGTTCGATGCCAGCAACGTTCGATGTGCAACAACGTCGTCACGAACTGTCTTTTGTCCATTCCCGAACAGGGATCGACCTTTTTCACAGGTTTCTACCGTGTGGTGCACCAATTGCTCTGCGTGCTGCGTACGACCAATGGACGAGGAGGCAGGTCGAATGCAGTGCAATCGGGGCGAGAAAAGTGAACCGCTCGGCTGGCATGTCGGTGCCCTGGTCGGCGACCGGTCGATCAATCAGTTAATTGGCCAACCACAAACCGAAAAGTCGATCAATCAACTAATCAGTTACTTGTGCCAACGCTCTCCTGTCAACCAGTTTGCTGGATCGGTTGTACGCCTGCCGGTTGGGCGATCGCGCAGAGGGTGATGCCACGGTTGCAACGCAAACACACGTTCGACTGTATGGTTGGTGGACTGCTGGATCAACCGGTCGTCCGACCGCATTCCGATTAGTCGTTCAGTGATGTTGGTAGTGGTGGATCTATTGACCAGTCTACAGTTCGCTCGGGGTACATCAACGAGTATGATGGATCGGTCGCTCACCGCCAGGTTGGTCGTTCGCGCATGGTGCCACGTGTGTTTTGTATTTGATACTGGCGAAAAACACACACGCGGTGACAACGCTGAGACAGCACACGCGATCAATCGACCGATCGAGAGCTCTCTGTTCGTGTTCGACGATTGGTCGAGTGGGTGTGTCTGTTGTCCCAACAATGTCACCTCCTGCTTTGATTGATCATCCATTCGGTAGATCAGCGGCGGTATCGTGATCAGTCGTGATGGTCCTGTTCATCACTCAAGTGCGGTATGGCCGATGTCACCACTCACGTGTGGATGATTGATCTGATGAGTGGAGAAAGATCCGATCTGCCGCGCGGTTATTATGTTTCGTGACCGGTCGCCTCGCGCTCGATCGAAGCTTTCATCATGCATCAGTTACTCAGCTCATGAGAACTGCCCAATGAACAGCCGATCGAAACACGCGTTGACAATGTCGAGAGTGATCTGATCATGCTCCATCGATCTGGACTGCATATAATCAAGGAATATTATCTACCTTGTGCTCTGGACTGTCTATAATCAATGATGAATACTATCAAATCAAGGAATGTTGTCTATCTACCCATCTATTGTATCTTTGTCGCCGCGTGTTTCGATTAATCATCCTTTGGGAAGGTCGACGGCTACTGCGTTGGGACAGCAAACAGGAACAATGGAATGTGGTCTGTGGTCAGGATGTGATGAACTGACGAATGCCGATAGCTCCGATCGAACGGGCTGTGGACGGTCACGAAACATAATCACCCCGCGCTCGATCGGATGTTTCTCCATTCATTAGTTTCATACACAACAAGATCACATGAGATCCACACACAAACGTGTGGATCTCGTGTGCTCTTGTTGTGTATGAAAATGATGAATGGACAAACATCCGATCGAGCGCGGGGTGTTTATGTTTCGTGACTGGCCACAGCGCGTTCGATCGGATCTATCGGCATTCATCAGTTCATCACATCCTGACCACTGACCACACTCCATTGTTCCTATTTGATGTTTGAATGTCGTAGCCCTCGACCTGCCCAAAGTATGATTGATCGAACCACGCGGCGACAGAGATACAATGGATGGATAGATGGACAACAGATTACAGTTCTTCATTAGAGCATACGGAATCGCCGGATATTACGCACGCACGACACTCAACGCCAGAATACAGCAGGAGAACCCTCGGGATGCGAAACAGTTCATTCAACCATGGCCGCACACCTTGGCGACAACCTCCGTGCATTCAATCGGCGAAACAACACACACGCACACGAACAGACACACGCACATACACATGTACACACACGCGCACACACGCCGCGTACACAAACACGCCCCTCACGTAGAGATACTACATACGCAAACCCGAAAAAAACACTCCAACACACAATCAACCGCACGCGCACATGCAAAGACACACTCGTCACGCACAAGCAAACACAAACACAACCGCACGCGCACATGCAAACACACACTCGTCACGCATAAGCAAACACAAACACAACCGCATACGCACAAGCAAACACACACTCGTCCAAACAACACTGATATGTCAGCAGAAAAGCCGCCTACAAGCGCTTAAAGAAACACACACGTTCCGGGTTCGTGCGCACTCACCTTGTGAGAGTGTCGAGTGAAGATGCGTGCGGATCCCATCGTCGATCGAGACAGGAATGCTGCGACCTTGTGCCGTGCGCTTTGTGTTGGCGATGGTAATGCATGGAGCGTCGGATGCGCTAATCCTGAATCGAGATGTCGTCGTTGAGTCGACGGGATGTCGACACATGACGTCGAAGATGACGCGGGCAGCGACTAGGGAGGTGCGTCGTAGAAAAGGTGGCGACCAGGGTTTAGAACGGCTGTCCGTTCGCTTCGCTACCTATGGTGCTCCAGCTGGGCGGGGCAATGGTGTTGACGACAATGGTGGTGCAAGGCGTCCGTCCGGCAACATCTACCCAGCAAAAAAACGCAGAAAGCGGCGTTCACGCCCCGGGCGCCGCTCGTATTTGTAGGCGCGTGTGGGTCGGGTCCCCTTTGGGTCTTCCATTTCGGAGTGCCTCGCAGGGTCCGTTTGACGCCACGAAAGGTTGGCCACACGTCGTTCCGCGCATCGAACGGTGGCCACACGTCAAATTTCCCGCTAGGGGGGACCCGGTGCGCGCGACATGGCAAAAAAAAGTCCCTTCGAACAGGGCCTTCCTGGGCGTCATGGAAAAGGGCCGTTGTCCCGGGCCCCTTGCGTTCTTGTGTTCGCGTTCGCGGGCCCCGCCAAAGGGGTTTTCGGGCTGCATGGGAGGGG